CAGCTTCTTTTTAAGTTTATCTAGATTTTTAAAACAGAGATTTCTTTTAGTAACTGATATTTTTTTATTGTTGTTGTTAGACAAAACTCCGTGCGCAACATGAAAGAAAGGAAAATGATCTGAAAAATCTGCAATAAAAATACCGGATTCAAAACTTGTACCTAAAACGCTATTAGTTAAAATATTATCAATTGCTGACGAAGTAGTTTTTGTAATACGCGTAGGCTTAAATATGGTTGGTATAATATTAAATTCAAATAATGAATTAAAAAAGTTTTTCGGATTTACAAACTTTTCGTAACACATGGCATCCAAGTTTAAATCACCGGCAAAAAAAATATGCTTGTTTTGTATACTCATTTTCGATATAATGCTTCTAAGGCTATTATGAAAGTTAATTTGCTTACCGCATGGCGGTCGATAAAACGAGGAAATTAAAAAAGGTTTACCAGTTTTATTTGAAATTTCTATACACAAAGTTTCAATATGTTTATTTACTTTACAGAAATTATTTTTTGGTTTAAATATGAATTTGTCAAGAATATAGATTGCAACGCCGCCTCCCTTGCTTCTAACACGTGGTTGGCTTATAATTTTATACGATGATAAATTATACAAGGAATTTTCTGACAAAGGCAGTTTTGCATCTTCCCAAGTTTCTGAGATACATATAACATCAAAAAGATAGTTTAAAGAGTAATAAAAATGTTTAAAAGCTTCAAAGTTTTTATTCATTGATCTTATGTTTATACTTAAGATGCTCAAATCTTTGTTGTTTTTTTTATATTAAATTTGTCAGGTTTATAGTATGAGTTGTCGAGACAACTTATTATTTATATCACTTAAAAAATTGTATTCATTTTTATTAGTTTTCAAAGATTGTAAAATTGGGGATTCAAAGTTTAAAAAATTATTTGATACATTATGTATGGTATTCGAACTCATTTTTTCATTTGATCATTAAATAATTTAAATATGATGAAAAGAATAAAAAATAGATAATATAATAAATACAAATGAATCAGTTTTACTTATCTTTTTTAACCGTCGTATCGCCAAAACTTGCATTAACGTTGTTTTTATTTGAAGCCCATTCCCGAATGATCAACTTATCGTAAGAGATGTATGCATATTTACCAGCCGCTCGTTCAACCTTTATCTGCTCTCGTAGAGATTTCCTAATTGTGACAGTTTCGGCACAAAAATCTTCATTAATATAAATATTTTTACCTTTTAATTGAGATGTTTTTTTTAGAATTTCCACTTTATCTTTATAGTCTAACAGTTTTAATACAATTGTTCTTGGTTTGCTCAAATCTCTCTGACCAGTTCTATGAGCTCTTTTAATTTTAATATTTTTTAACCCCAAATGCTCCTCAAAAAACTTACTGACTTTCAATTCGCTGTCAATCCACGTTTCGCTTTCGTTTTCTTTTAACCCGTCAACCCTTAAATTGTTTCTGCAAGATCTATCCTCCATCTCTCTTAATTTACTTTTTATTTTAACATAGTCGGTATTATTATTTCGCTTATCGATACAAGATGTTGTTGTTTTTTCTTGCGAAGCAATAGCGGTCTTAATTTTTTCTTCAAAAAGGTGTTCGTGAAAATTTAAGCTTCGTTTGATTTCTTCAATGTCTTTTTCTAGTATCTTTATTTGTTTTGTATAATCAATAACCTTTGAATCTACTTTATCCTAATCTTTGTGTTGACGCTTTATTGAGTGGTTCAAACTCTACAAGTGTTTTTATTGGCGCACTATGAACTCAAAATTTGAAATTAAATTATTTTCCACGGACAAAATTAAATGATTTTAAAATTTGCATCACATTGATGTGTACGCAAAATTTCCGTATAAGTGGAGTTCTTGGGACAGCTAGGTTGGCATTATAAGGATCCGTGCTAACCGTTCACATTACATTGAATTTTATTACTTGCTTGTTTTTTATATTTCTTAACAACAATGGTATATACAGAGAAAATTCTTCGAAAAAATTATAGTGGGTGAATCCTTAAAAAGTACCCTGAGCTGGAACACCTCCCCCACACACACTCCATAACTTCCCTAAGATTTCGTCAGGGTATATATAAACCCTAGAAATATTGCATTTTTTAAAAAAGAATTAAATAAGGATAGGTTTAAATACTTTTAACCATATCCATAAGAATATTTTTTATAGTTCTTTATATTTCATAGCCATAGAAATATATCTTGTGACTGTTTTAACAGATGTTTTAACTTATTTTAAATGGATGATGTAATCATAATATGACGTACCTTTTAAATGACGTAACTAATGATGTATTCACGAATTGACGTAGTTTTTATAGATATTTTAGTTAAATCTAAATTTTTAATGTTAAAAAAAAATACTTTTTTTACTCTTTTTAAAACACTTTTTTAAAACACTTTTAAAAAATCTAATAATAATAAAACAAGAAATGATTAAGTAAATCAAAGTTTATAATGGTCTTAGGAAAGCACATATCTGCACATGGTTTTAAGTTTTCATTCATGGAGATAAAGAATTATAAAGTATATATAAAAAAATAAGCTTATATTGCCTATAGGTCCACTTAATAAAGAAGCTTAAAAAGCTAAAAATAAAGACTTAGTAGAGAACCTCATTCATGTAAAATATCAAGAATACAGATGTTATGAAATAAACCTTTGTGAAAATCTGATGCAGTTATTTCAAACCTGATTCCGTTATTTTAGAAAAGATGTTTCGTCAATAAAAAAATATTTTCTCCCGGTGTTTTTGAACTTTTTATTGGCTAGAGTTCGACGTTCTAGAACGTAGAGATTTAATTCATAATTTTTTATTTAATTTTTTTAAAAATACCTATTATATAGATTTTTACGGTTTAGTATTAAATATGAGCTTAATATTCATTTTTTATGGTTTGTATAATTAAATTATAATAATTCTAATAATAAAAACAACTGAAATAATTTTGGCATAAAAAACGCTCTTTTGTCCCACTGTGCGCTCTATGGATTTTGAAATTAAAATTAAGTTTTTCACTTTGTTTTACTATTTTTTTTAATTTCATTTTTGTGTGTAATGAAAAAATCTTAAAGATCGATTAGTTGCATTCATCCAACCTCTGTTTGATGTATTGTTGTTGGACTATAATTATAAGAAATTCAGGTGCATTTCGAAAAAATGCAAACTCAAAATAATAGTTTGTAACAATAAAAACAATCAAATTTCTATAATTAAATATATTTTCTAATTCAAATATTATATTAAAATAATATTTTAATTAGAATGTGTAATTAGTTAAACAAAAATTTATTATTATTCTTTTTAAATTTTGTTTTTAGAATAAATTTAAAAATAAATTTTTTATTAAAATCTGCACAAAACCTTGAGAGCATGACATTTTTTATTAATTAACATGCGGCACGTAGCGAAATCAGTTTATTATTTTATAAAGTTAACGATAACTTTGTTTAATAGTTGCAAATAATTTATTGGAATATTTTCATTTTGAAATTAATTTTTTTGACACTTTGTTTGAAAAATTGATTTTATTGCATTGTAACTGAAACTTTTGACCCGTGGGTGTATAAAGTATTAAAGTAAGGTAATTTAAAACGATTCATTACAAAATTTAAATATGTTTTTGACGACCTTGGATTTTTTTCGTTATAAACTAACAGCCAGCAGTGCGCAATATTTTTTATATTTTAAGTCCTACTTAAAAATTTATTTTGATTAAAAATATCACACTTTAAGCTAAAATTAGCGTCAGAAAACGAAAGTAAAGAAATCAGCATAAAATAATGTTTTTATATAATTTTTCTAAATTTGCTTTTTAATACAATATGTAACTTTTCTTTTGAACAAGACAATTTTTTTTTGAAATTGTTAAAAATATTTAATTTATTTAAAAACGTGTTTCAACTATAAGTTATAAGCTATAGTCACATATTTTAACAGATGACTATGTTATAATATGATGTAAATAAATGTACATAAAGTAAATAAAGTTAGTAAAATTAAATTAGATTGAACGTTAAAGAACAGATAAAAACTAACACATTTACAAACATCTTCTAACAAGTAAACGTTGTTTTAATAAATTTAGTCATAATAGTTTTTTGATTTTGAATTCTGCCTCTAAACAGTTAACTTAATCGAGTAAAAATGATTAAGTTAAAATTAACTTAATCGTTTTTACATGATTAAGTTAATGCTCAGAGGCAGAATTATTAGGCAGAATATTATTCATTTGAATATTAATCATTATAAGACAGAATATTATTCATTTTAATGATATTTTTATTATATTTGTTAATATCAAATATCATAAAAATATCATAAAAAATGATTAAATAATACAAGAAAATAAAACTAAAAGCAATTTAAAAAGTAGTAACAATGTTAACTTGTTTTAAATTACTTTTTTCTTGTATTATTAATCATTTTTATGGTCTCTATTATACTATTTTACTCTATTTAACTATTTTGTACTAATTTTGTTCATATATTTTAACTGAAGATGATTATGTTATAGTTGACTATAACATATTCATCCTCAGTGCATGTATTTTATCTTGTTCATAGAAAAAGTTGTCTTGTTTATAAACTAGTTGCTTACTTTATAATAAAAGATCTTTATACTATTTTAACTCTATTTTAACTATTTTGTACCAATTTTATTCATATATTTTAACTAAGGATGATTATATATATATATATATATATATATATATATATATATATATATATATATATATATATATATATATATATATAAACCCACACACACACACACACACACACATTTCTTTCTTCTTTATGGAACTTTATTGTTGTATTTTTAAAAATGTAAGCAAAATCATAAAAGGAAAATTAAGTACCTTCACTGCTTAAAAAAATAAGTCATAATTTTTCTTTGATATTTTAACATGTATATGAAAAACAGATGTAAAAGTTAAATGAATATGTTAGAAAAATTGTTTAGCCATTGTTATAATATTAATAATTATAAATATATTTCAACAGTTCAATAATAATGCGATTGTTGTGTAATGATAGAACACTCACCCCATAAGAGAGAATGTCCTGAGTTCAGTCCTCATTGCGTCCCTGGTAGCTCCACACTCAACCTTTTTCTCTGTGTAGCTGTTTGTCAAGGTTCGTTTTTTAGAATTACAGAAAGAGGTTATAACCACAACTAAAGTAGCCTCCTTGACTGTAGTGGTGTTCTCGGCCTTTGTGAGGTGAATTGAAAAAAAAGTTAATAAATACAAAATAACGTTGATAAAAATGCACTTCAAGTACAGGGATGAAGTCTCTAATACTGATAAAGTAGATAAAAAAAGTTATTAACTGCAAAAAAAATTCTATGCCTAATGAACTTAAACTATTCAACTTTTATACTTTTTTATTTTTAGAGCAATAGTTTTTTTTAAAGTCTGACTGTGTTTGTTTATAAAAGTATATGTAAAATTTAGAGTTTTTCAAATAAAATTGACCAATTTTATTTTAGGATTAATATCACTAGGTGGTCAAATACGTTTGATCAAATACAAATACCTGTTTTGCAAATTTCCAAATACAAATTCAAATACAAATGTATTTAATCAGCTTTTTCTCAATATAAATACAAATACAATTTTTTCAAGACAAAATTAATAAAATGGTTTACTACATAGAAGAATGAAAACAAGTCCTGTAACAAATATACCTTAAAAAAAAAAAATTACAAACCTCAAAGCATTTGCCAAAAAACATTGCTCAACCTAGTTTATGGAACTGGAAATACATTTCAATCAAATACAAATATTTTAAAAATTTTTTACTTATACAAATATATATTTGACCCTAACATTGACCATTGCAGTTTCTATTTTTTGAATTGAATTTTGTATGTTTATTTTTTGTGTTATATAAACCATAAACAGATGTCCTTTTCTGTTAACTCTGCTTTGGAGATCAGGACTTGGTATTTTTATTATTGCTACAACTGGAAAAAATACCATCAAGGTTTATGAGATATTCCTACTCTTATCACAATATTATTAGGGGGGGGGGAGGTTATATCAGAGTTTTGTTTATCATAGATATGTTAACTCCACCAGATCTAAGCAGCTTCTTCTGCCTCATATAAAGTCAGTTCTACAGAATCGTCATATGGCAAAATATTTTCAATATAAAAGTTTCAAATAGGAAGGTTAAACTTATATTTGTTAGCTATACTGACAAACCTTTTAGCTAGTTTAGGTAATTATTTTGTTTATTGTGTGACAAGTTCAGATGGTTTATCTCTAAAGCTATCAATAAATAGCATTAGAGGTGCATTTATATTAAGTATTTACATAAAAGATATAGAACTATATCTTTCATATAAATACATAATATGAATGCACCTCTTTATAAGCATACATCTGAAAATTAATTTTTTATATGCAATAAATTTACAGTATGTTTATTATTTTACATTGCAGGGTCCTTAAAAATCTAGAAATATCCTGGAACTTGATAGGTTTGAAAAAGTCCTGGAAAAGCATCCCTTTCAGCAATAAATCCTTGAAATCCTGGAACTTTTTTATGAATTAGTTCAATATATTGTTATCATGTCAATATTTGTTATCTTTTACAGAAATATTATCAACATTGCATAGATTTCTACTGAATTTGTTAGTTATGTATTTTCTGAAATGCAAAAAAGTTTTTGTTAACTGTTATTATCAGTATTATTAACATCATATAATTATTTAAAAAATTATATATATCGTAAAACGGGGTGAATAGAAACATTGAGGTGAATAGAAATGAAACTTCATTTATATATATAATCTAATTTCTACATAACTATGGGTAAATAGTGGCAAACATTATTTTTTTTAGGTTGCTACACTTTAACCTGAAAGTGAAATAAGATTGTGCTTGGTTGGCAGCACTGGTTCTTGTTTTTTTTTTGTGTTGAATTTTACCGCGCAATTCTTGTGTTTTTTTGATCTACTTTGAACTTTCCAGGTAAGTCGGAATACTTTGTGTTCTTGAAAGTAAATAGCTGTACAAAACATAGTTTAATTTTCAATATAAAAGATTTAGACTAACTTTAAGCTTTAACTTTAACAATATTATTTCAATAACTATTCTTATTTTTTAAGTTAGGTTTTCTGAATTTACGGGGTGAATAGAAACACTTAATTTCTAGTGTTTCTATACACACCACAAAAAAAAATTAATACTAAATTACATTTATACTGTATAAAATACATACTGTGTGCTATATATTTATGTTAGACACTTAACTGACACAGCTGTTTTGTTTCAGGACCCTGTAAAATGCCAAGACACTACAAACCGGTGGTTACAGGAGGCTTCAAAAAGCACAATCCAAAAAAAATTGAAAAGGTAGTTTCTGACATACAGAAGGGTCTCAGTCTTCGGAAGTCTGCTTTAAAACATGGTTTGCATTATAGTATTATATATTGACACTTGAAAAAAGGTCCTAATATAAAGAAACATGGTGGACAGAAGAAGAACAACTGTTTGTTGAAAGGCTGAAGATACGTGGCGAATGGGGCTATCCTATTGACACTACAACTCTGCAACTTTTTATCAAAGACTTCTTAGACCGAATAGGGAAAAAAGTTAAGAGGTTTAAACATAACCTTCCTGGCCGTGACTTTGTTGAAACATTTTTAAAACGTCATAAGGATCAACTGGTCGATACTATTAACAGCTATTTTGATAAACTTACAAATGAATTACAGGATGCGCCTTTATCTAATATTGTTAACTAAGATGAGACGAATCTAAGTGATGACCCTGGTAAACGAAAGGTCATTACACGTAGAGGGCAACATATCCAGAAAGAATCATAAACTCATCAAAAGCATCTGTGTCTGTTATGTTTGCAGCTGCTGCAGATGGCACTATTTTAACCCTTACGTTGTGTACAAGGCAATTCATTTGTACCAAAGCTGGACAGAGGGTGGGCCAAAAAATGCCAGGTACAATCGAACAAAGTCTGGCTGGTTGGATTTTTTTTGCTTTGATGATTGGATACTGACAGTTGCTATTCCATACCTGAAAAAACAAACAGGTCAAAAATTTCTGATTGGGGACAATTTGTCTTCCCATTTATCATTAAAATCTGTGAAGTTGTGTAAAGACAATAATATCAGTTTTATTTTTCTCCCAGCTAACTCTACCCATCTGACATTTTTTCGGCCATTAAATTCAACATGGCGACAGATTATCAAAAAGTGGAAAAAAGGTCCAGGAAAAGCGGAAGCAACTGTTCCTAAGAATAAATTTCCAACTTTGTTGAAAAAGTTGTGCGATTCATTGAAGGAAGAAAATGTTGGTATAGCACCTTTAAATAGGAACAAAGTCCTCTCTATGCTTCCACAAATTATCGATGAAGAGGAAAACCAGGATCCTAAAAATAACAATGAAGCGGTTGACAATAGTTTCAAAGAACTCCTATAGAGTCTGAGACAAGATTAGACTCCTAAGATAAGCAAAAATAGAACCAAAGTTAATGTGAAACCTGGCAAAAGTATCGGTGTTGAGGACTGTGTTGACGACGATGAGAGCTTAAATCCCTAAAACACATGTTCCTCCAAACAAGTTCAGCCAAATAAAAACTGAACGTGTGTGGAGTTATCATCAGAAGATGAAGATGATTTTTCAATGCAGCATAATGACTCTTCAGATTCCTCTGATCTGGATGTAAGTACTGACAGGGCCTCAGGCGAAAGCCTTGTCATCAATGAAGATGACTACATGTTGGTCAAAGTTTATGGTAAAACAAAAGCATCTTTTAGATGTTATATATGCAAGGTAGCTTACTTTGAAAACGATGGTTTATTTGAAAAGAGTTTAACAAACTAATAAGTTTATAACAACTGAAGAACAATCTCTTGTATCCAGAAACGACATTATCCTAAAACTCTTCCCCAGTATTGTGCTTGAGTGGGCCATTCAAAAGCATGATATTTTTCAAAGATGACCTGTCTGATTACACAATTTATTAATATAATTGCACTTTATTTTTAATTGCAATTTAAAATAAAAAAACAGACTAAATAATTATCAGAAACTATTAAATAAATAAAAAATCATAGTTTAATCTCATTAAATACGGCAAATGTATACTTATTCAATTTAATTACATTTATGTTATGTTGAGAAATAAATTTGTATTTATCCATTTACAAATTAAAACTATATCACCGTTTCTATTCTTTACCGATTTGTTTCAATAATAAAACACATGAAATTGAAATACTGTTTCTATTCACCCCCATTTGCAGGATAAATAGAAACACCATGTTTTATTTATTTTTCATTAAAATAAAATAAAATTTAAATACTATAAACAAATAGATCTGACAGAGACCTGTATTTGGGCATAATAATGTTTATCTAGAACAACTGCAAGTATGCAAAATTTTATACCAAAGTTGAAAATTGTTTCTATTCACCCCGTTTTTCGGTATATATATATATATATATATATATATATATATATATATATATATATATATATATATATATATATATATATATATATATATATATATATATATATATATATATATATGTATATATATATATATATATATATATATATATATATATATATATATATATATATATATATATATATTCTGATTCACTCCCAACAAGGCTGTAAGAAACCACTATTAAGTTGGGAGTTATAGAGCAAGGTAATGGTTGACAGAAGACTATAGAGTAAAAGCATTTCATTCTAGCTTAAATTCAGGAGGTTACATAGGAGGCATATTTTTCAGCTGAGAGAAGCAAAAGGACTGTCACGAAGAAAATCACGAAAAGAGTCCCAGTCAGCTTTAGGGTAGTAGTAAGTAGTACGATGATAGAGTCCAAAATTCTAAATGAACAATTTAAAGAGATCATTGGTCAGAACCACCTAAGGAAGAAAAAGTAGAAACTGGACACAAGCTAGGAGACTAGACATAAATTAAGGAGTGAAGTTAAATTATTAGAGTTGTCAGGAAAGCAAGTCACAAAGTTAAGTATCTGAGTAAGAGATTGAGAAATACAGAAGTTATAGGCTTTAGTGCATTTGAGCCACTGAACCTGCCACTGAAAAATTTTGCGTGTCTTTCAGACCTGTTATTAAATAGGCTGTGAAAAAAAATGAAAAAACTATGCAAAAAATAAATAATGGACAAAATCGTATTATTTCAAGGCGCTAGTATAGTCAAAATTCTAAAATCTTTTTTTTAAACAAACAGTATTGATTTTTTCATAAAATATTAAAAAACTGCATAAAAACATAAAATAAAAAAAAAAGAAAGTTTTACATTTGGACACAAGTTTTGGGTCGCAAAACCTAAAAAAGTAAAAATTAAGTTATTCAGCGTAATGAGCATTAAAATCACTAATAGCAACAATATTGACAGAGGAGAGAGCATGGTCAATTTGATCAGATATTACATCTAAAAGAGTGCAGTCTAGGGAAGAAGGAGAACGATGGAGAACAAGGAGAAAGGTGATATAGTAAAGTGGTGCCAAGCAGAAGCACATAATGGAATAGTTAACATGTTAACATCTGCTCAAGATAAGTATTTTTATAGAAACACCATCTCTAGCCTTTACTTAACCAAAAGCCCCAAGGCAGGAGATTTTTAAGTCAGAGTTTGTTTCAAATTGATTGGCTCTGTTCTTTACAGGTTAGTTATAAGTTGTTTTTTTTTTTACATTATTCTTAAATTTTATTATAAAAAAATTATTTGGCAGAGAAGCAGCTATCAGTAATTTACATAAAATTTATCCTAATTTAAAAAAAAACAAGCAATAAATCAGTACAGCCTACTACTATTGAGGATCTTCAATCAAGGCAGAAATACTAAGGAATATAATACTAAGCAGGGATAAAATGGACCTTGAATGTTGTAATGCCACATTTTTCTTTAAGACCGTGATTAAATTTATATGAAATATTCAAATTTATATTCTCTGACAGCACAATAGCATCAAAGGTTTCATTAAGCAAAACAAAATTTGGTTACCTTATTAATTTTGGATTAGCACCAACAATCAAGCCCAGCCCCTTTTCTGATGTCAGAATATCACCAATCTTTGTTTTGTCATATGAAGAGAGTATGAATGTTTTCTTTAAAAATGAACAAATGGATTTCTTTAGTGAGGAATGCTTCATCTTTATTTCCGAATGAAATGGTTCAAAACAAGGAACTGTTCACTCTAAAATTCAAGGGTTCTGCTGAAAGATTAAGTGTATTAAAATGGCTTTCAACTGAGGATGCAGGTGATGCAAAACAACAGTATGATTTTGTTTTGCATCATCTATTGCATCATCTATCGAAATTTGTTGGTGGAGAATTTAATTCGATTTAGAGAAAAATCTTTAAAAGAATCTAAGTCCTTTAATGAATTAACTGATTCTGTTAATAAATTTCTTGGTGTCTATTTGCACAAAATTCATAAGGGCTCAGCATTGTGGAGAGTCTGTGCTATTATTTTTGTTTTATCTCTTGGCCAATATGCAAAAGAAGGAGGATTCAGTGTTAGCAAGCAGTTTTTAGTAGAAAATCGACAAAAGAGTTCTCTTGTTTCCCAAAGAATAGTTTATGAATAGTTTATGACCCCATCATTTTCCATGATATTGTTATTTATCAGTATGAGCTTCCCAGTAATCTTTTAAAAAGTACACAGTAGGTACAATTCAGTCTTGAATGAAAATAAGGATCAGTTTAAGGTAGACAAAGTAAACAAGAAACATAAATTGATTGTTGAAGAAAGAGTACTTATAAAGAAGCATAAATAAAATTTTGCAAAGTGCGTCAAAGTTCTTAAAACAACTTCAGAATTTAAAAAAAAGTTAATCTGGATGCATTTATATTTTATATTTAATTTCTTTTTTGTTTATATGAGTTTTTGAAATTTGATACTATCAGACATGCGCAAAGCAAATTTGTTTATTTGATTAGGAGGCTGTGTGAATAAAAAAAAGGAATTACTTTTATTCAGTGTTTTTGGAGTAATTGTTTGCATGAATAAAAATTGAGCAAAATTGCTAAAATTTTTATTCATGTTGACCAATTGCTCAAAAAACACTGAGTAAAAGCAAGTGCTTTTTTTATTCATCCAGACTTAGGTAATTAATATTCTTTTTTTAGTTTTTTGTAAACAATTTTTTCGATATATATAAATATAAACATTTTTTTATTGTTTAAAAAATGTTTTTGTGTTCATTAATAATTAAAATTTTTTTTTTTTCGATTGTTAACAAAAAATGCCTGTTTTTCTAAGAAAAATCCTGTTTTATAGGCCTCCATAGTCTTGTTTTTTTATTAAAAAATATAATATATTAAAATTAATGTATATATATATATATATATATATATATATATATATATATATATATATATATATATATATATATATATATATACTAATTTTTATTTTTGTTGTTTATCATTTAGTTTTTTTTGATCATAATGGAAAGTCAAAATTTATTAGATGATTTAACAAAGGAACAAATACCAAAATCTGTATGTCGTGCTTATAGCTCGTGTTCAGTGTCAAAGTACTCTTTAATAACAGAAGGTGATGTTAACCTTTGTAGGTTGTTTCACCATAGTAGCATATTCAAAAATATTATCAATGCACACATTATTCGTCGTTGGGAGCGTCATAGAGTTGTGTTAGACGAGTATTCCATTCGTTCAAAAACTGTAAGTATAAAGCAATTCTTGATTGAATTCAAACCAAATTACTTCAAAAATGTTAAATGCACTTTATAGTTTATAGCATTAAAAAAGTCACAGAAAGTCTAGGAATATAGGTTAATAACTCCCATATCTTGTGTTTTACCTGGCTGATTGATGTGTATAAACCATTGTAATATTGATTATATTTAATTAATTTAAAAAAAAAATTTTTGTGAACATCTCTGATTTTCTTGATTTATACATATCATTATCCTTAATATATAGAACAATTGTTTGCAATAAATTGACAAAATATTAGCTGCTTGGTACAGTGTAAAATGTTTGCCTAACAAGACCAAATATCAGTCATTTTGAGATTTTTTTTTTTTTTTAAACATCTTCGCTTCCAACAAAGCTGCAAGCAACCACAAATTAGTGTTGGAAGTTACTGGAAGAGAAAAGATGAAGATTGTAGAGCAAGATAACGATTGACAGACGACTTAAATATTGCAAGTTATATGAATCAGGAAAGCAAGATGAAGGAAGCGAATTCCAAAGAACTGATGTTCGAGGAAAAAAACTAGACGAATAAGAGTTTTTGGAGCACTAAGGAACAGTACCAGAAAAAGGATTAGACTTAGTTGAATGACGAGTAACACGAGAATGAATTTTAGTAGATGGCACAAGAGACGCTAGCTCTTTAGAGCAGTGCCCATTATAGTATTTGTAGAAAAGAGAAAGAGAAGCAACATTACGACGATGTGACAGAGGTTGAAGGTTGGCTGCAAGAGCAGGTCCAACTATGTTTACAATGTATTTTTGCACCTTGTCTAATAGAGAAAGGGTATCATTAGAAGATCCGCCCCAGAAATGGCAACAGTATTCCATACAAGGATAGATTTGAGATTTATAGAGATAGAGAATAGAATCCAGAGTAAGAAAGTGTCGAGCTCGATTAAGAGAAGCAACTTTAGCAGATGCTAATTTTGCAACAGATTTGATATAAGGTTTCCAAGAAAGATCAGAAGTAAGAGTTAATCCTAGAAGATGAAGGGTAGGAGACTCATCAAGTACATTACCGTTCATAAAAATAGGAAGGTCTAAATTAATGCAATAACGATTGGCTGAAAAAAATTGAGTTTTATCTGAATTAAAGTTTAGAAGCCACTGTGAGCCCCATGCTGTTGCAGAAGTGAGATCCTTTTCAAGCTCAGATGTCACCTGCAAGCAATCAGAAGGAGTTGGCTTCTTATTGTGACAAGAATAAATGGTAGTATCATCAGCAAACAATGCCACCTTAGGTGTGAGAATATTTGGAAGATCGTTAATGTAAATTAAAAAGAGTATAGGGCCAAGAATTGAACCTTGAGGAACCCCTGAGGTTACAGAATAAGAAGAAGAGTGCTGTTCATCGAGGACAACTTTTATACTACAATTGGAAAGGAAGGATTTAATAATCTTAAAGATGTTTTCAAATACACCGTAAGAAAAAGCTTATGGAGAAGACCAGCATGCCAAACTTTATCAAACGCTTTAGAATTGTCAAGAGCGATGGCCTTAACCTCTCCACCTTTATCTAATGCGCAATAAAACCTATTGGTTATTACTGATAGCAAATCAGCTGTAGAACGAGAAGATCGAAATCCATATTGATGATCAGAAAGTAGGTTATTAGATTCGAAATGAGAGATTAAGTTTTTGTTAATTAAAGATTCAAAAACATTGCTTATGATAGGAAGAAGATTAATGGGACGGTAGTTAGACAAATCAGATCGCTCTCCAGAGTTTTTAAAAATAGGGATAACAGATGCTGCTTTCCAGCAGGCTGGAAAATAAGACTCTGATAAGCACTGGTTAAATAGTTTTGAAATGATAGACGACAGCTCCGGAGAACACCTCTGCAAGACTATAACAGGTATGTTGTCCGGGCCACAATCTGTAGAAGAGTCTAAGTAGGAAATCACTTTAGATACAGATGCTGGAGTGATACAAATGTCAAGCAATGGATCAACCTGTTTGACGGCTATATCAGGTAGAACGCAACTAGTGGAATCAAGAGATGATATTGATAAAAAGTTCTTGGCAAACAATTCAGCTTTGTCTTTAGGTGAGGTGACAAAGTCTGAACTGTACAAAAGAGGTGGAATTACAGACTTGCCCTTATTATTGATACTATTAAAGATTTTCCAGAAGTCACGAGAGCCTAATTTTTGTGATGAAATACGAGATTTCATGGTCTGAGAGTAGCGGGCTTTGACGTTAGACAAAACCTTTTTACAATGGTTCCTGGCAGTAATAAACAGACGTCTGTTTTCTGGAGAATTGTTTTGCTGATAGATATGAAAGTAATGGTTTTGATTGGCAATTGCAGCAGCACAATGTGAGGAAAACCATGGAGATGAGTGAGGCTTGGCCTGGAATCATCGAGAGGGAATAAAGGATTCCATGCCAGCCTGAATCCACGAAGTTATGTAAGAGGCACATTTGTCAACAGGAAGACGAAAGATTTCTACCCAGGGGCCATCATGAAGAAAATCATGGAAAGAGTCCCAGTCAGCTTTAACGTAGTTGTAAGATGTACGATGATAGGGGGATTCTGATGGTAAAGAAGAATGAGATAATAGTTTTCGAGAGACCAAACCATGATCAGAAGTACCCAAGGGTGAGTGTGGAGAAACTGAGCACTGACTAGGATCAGAAACAAGACATAAGTCGAGTAGAGAAGGTAAATGATTCGGGTTGTCTGGAAAGTGAGTTGGAAAGTTGACTATTTGAGTTAGGGATTGTGAAAGGCAAAAGTTGTGGGCCTTAATGTCTGCAGAATCACTGACACTAGAGCCAAGCCATTTAGTGTGATGAACATTAAAGTCACCGACAACAACAATATTGGCTGATGGATAAAGAATGAGGGCTTGGTCAATATAATCAGAAATAACATCAAGAAGAGTGCAGTCTTGAGATGAAGGAGAGCGATATAGAACAAAGAGAAAGGTGATAGAGTGAAGTGGTGCTAAACGAAAGCACATAAAAGAGTAGTCTGTGGATTCAAACCTAGTTTCCCGACAAATGAGAGAATTCTTACGAATGTAAATGCCCAGGCCAAGCATGTGACTATTGGAGTCCTTACGAATTAAAGGAGATGCTTGTAAATTGAAAACACTGTTTATTTAAGTTCTGTTTTTTTATAGGGTTTTTTTTTTAATTGTTTATAATTCAGTGCACTAGCAAGAGAGTATGATAGTAAAAGCAGGTTATTGCCAGGGGCAAAGACTCTTATTATGCAATCTTTCAAAACTTAACTAAAAATGGCTAAAAGAATTAAAATCTAATCATATAATTAGGACTCATCTTTTTTTTGTTCTTTAAATTCCACAAAATTATGGGTTAGTTAAATATGAAATAAAATCAACTTATGGATTCAGATTCAAAAACATCTTATGGATTTAGTTGTTTGTTCATTAAAAGCAAAGGATGTTTTTACATGAGTGTGAAAATTGTCTTGACAAGTAGAGAATCGAAAAAGGAATTTAATGACCTTATAGGGAATTCAGTAAATAAAATTACTTATAAGTAACTATTAAAAACAGGTAACTGCTCCTTAAAAACAATAGTTAAAAGTCATGATGAATTTCAAAAAGAGTTAGCAAATATTTAGTATTTAAATATATTTAAATATAATTATTTTATCAACTCTTAGACTTTTTAAAGCAGCTACTAATACTAAATGTGAATGTGTTATAAAAATAATTTTTGGGGAAAATTTTCCATTTATCATACAAGATGAAGTTCAGCTATCATACCTTTCCAAAAAATAAGTCATCTTTTTATCCATTTGTTGTATATGAGAGATCTTTAAATTTGCATGTAATGGAGTAGGTAGTGCTGTGAAAAGTTTTAATCATAAACTGTCCCTTCAAAATGCCTTGTATAAAATAAATGGTGTCAAAAATTAGAAATCAAATTTTTTTTAAACCAAATGACATGGTTTTAGTTACAAAAATAAATTTAAAATTATCAGGCATGTAGCATTTCATAGTGGATACATATGTATGATTTTTTACTTTCTTTAAAAAGTAAAAACTTAATTGTTTTTTACTTTCTTTAAAAAGTAAAAAATTTTGTTTTTTACTTTTTAAAAATAGTAAAAAACAGTTAAGTTTTTACTTTTTAAAGAAATATAAAAATGTTTTAAGTTTTTCAAAGAAAGTTGTATAGAAAATGATTTGTTAAGCAAAAACTATACTAAATATATTTTTAAAATCTTTGAATTTATCTGTTAAAAATTGTTATAAGTTTTCTTTGAATTTTTGTAACCAAACCAGCTATTACACATGAAGTACCTGCTAAACAATTTGAGAATGCTTCTGCTATCAAAGGAACTTACTTATCATATCTTGGAAACCTTATATCAAATCCGTTGCAAAATTAGTATCTGCTAAGTTGCATCTCTTTATTGAGCTCGACACTTTCTAACTCTAGATTCTATTCTCTATCTCTATAAATCTCAAATCTGTCCTTGTATGGAATACTATTGCCATATCTGGGGCGAATCTTTTAATGATGCTCTTTCTCTTTTAAACAAGGTGCAAAAACGCATAGTAAACATAGTTGGACCTGCTCTTGCAACCAACCTTCAACCAACCTGTCACATCGTCGTAATGTTGCTTCTCTTTCTCTTTTCTACAAATACTATAATAGGCACTGCTCTAAAGGGCTAGCGTCTCTTGTGCCATCTACTAAAATTCATTCTCGTGTTACTCTTCATTTAATTAAGTCTCATCCTTTTTCTGTTACTGTTCCTTAGTGCTCCAAAAACTCTTATTCGTCTAGTTTTTTTCCTCGAACATCAGTTCTTTGGAATTCGCTTCCTTCATCTTGCTTTCCTGATTCATACAATTTGCAATCTTTTAAGTCATCTGTCAATCATTATCTTGCTCTACAATCTTCATCTTTTCTTTTCCAGTAACTTCCAACTATAATTAGTGGTTGGTTGCAGCCTTGTTGGAAGCAAAGATGATGAAAAAAAAAAAATCATTTTTCTAGCCTTAAATGGTTTTTGTGGTAATCTAAAAAACATTGTAAAACTCTTTGCTAATGACACAAGTGGTTTTGGTGATGAAGAATCAAGAGGACAATAAAAATCTTCAAAACACTATAAATAGACTATAAAGGTAGTAGTCAAATGAATGGTTAATTAAATTTAATGCAAACAAATGCAAATTAATGCATTTTGGTAAAAGTAATCAAAAACAAAAAAAAATAAACTAAATGATTTTATGCTATTACAAGCCTTCCCTGGAAATGTATGCGTTCACACGTCTTGTTCATCTATGTCTTAAGTACTTTTTAGACAACTTGACCATGCTTTTATATAGTAAGCATTGAATTTGCAGCAAAAAAACCTTATAGAATCTTCAGAGAATAATACAGCAATACTCAAAGAAAGGAAACAAATATTATAAGAAATAGAATATCTAAACAAAAAAATATTAAAAATTAAAAAATAAAAATTTTTCCAATAAAAATATTTTTACCTTTATGTTTTTCTTTTCTTTTTTTTCTTTTTTTTACAGGCGTTTGATATTTTTAACTGCCAAAATTATTGCAAGTCGAGAAAGATAGCAGATAAAAATATAATGAAAATAAAAAAATTTTTAATATACAATTTATTTGCGACTTTTGTTAGTCAGTACATCAAAGAAATGAAATTTTTAAATTTGTTTTTCAAATGCTTTTGCTAAACTTTACTGTTTTTATCAATGCACAGGAAAGCAAGAAAGCTAATTGCTATTTATTTGTAAAAAAAATTTTTTATATTTTTTAACAAGTTTTCTATGTAGAATAATAATAAAAAGTCATTATATCAATGCTGAAATAGAAAAATATTAAGTTGTTTTCTATATACCCCTATTGAAAAATTCTGCACTTTTGTTGGATTATCTAAATTTAAACCCAATAGTATTAATTACTAGCTTTTTGAACGAAACTTTTAGAAGCCTATTTAAAATATTCTCTTAAGTTTTTAAATACATTTTCAAACAGAACAATCATTATGTTCATTATTTTTTGTCTTAACATTGAAAATTGGGAAATATAAAATAAACAACTTCAGAATTAAGTTCTGTAGCTAAAAATAACAGCCACCCTTAAAAAAATATGCAAAAATTGTATTATAAGTTGTAAATTTTTATTTTTCCTTTTCTTTCTTTAGTTATGAATTTTTTCTAGTTTATTTAATTAAAGTTTGATATTTCGTTACAATTTTGTTTCCTTTTTTTAGTATTATTTATTTTCTCTTGGTAGATAATTTTAACTTTTTGCCGCAAATTATTGAAGTGCTTTAAAAGTTAAAAAATCCGTGGTCAGTGTGTCTAAAAAAATTATATTAGATGTGGATGAACAATGCGTGCGACCGCACACGGTTTACAGGATGGCTTGTTATTAAATACTCAATCAGAGTCCTTATTATTACAGAGACCCAATATTATTTCTTACTATGATTTAGTTTAATTTTCAATATTTAAATTTTATGTAGTTAATTTTTATGTATTTAATTTTTATGTATTTTATTTTTATGTATTTTATTCATAAAAAACACAAAGTTCTGGTCTTCTCCATAAGCTCTATTCTTATAGTGTGTCAGGTAACATCTTTAAGATTATTGAATCCATCCTCACCAATTATAGTATAAAATCTAAGTATAAAAACTGTCCTCAATGGACAACACTCTTCTTCTTACCTTGGCCCTATACTCTTTTTAATTTACATTAATAATCTCCTAGAAATTCTCACATCCTATCTTTGGACTAATAGTCGGCATTTGGCGATGCCAACCTAACTGCTGACCTGACAGTGTCTGAAGTCACATTTTTTTTGCAGACCTCAAAGTTTTAAAACCTAATTTTGTTTTCTATTTCATATAAACTTAAACAGCAAAACAAGCATTTCATTTTAATTCTAAATAAAATAGTTAAAGTAATAACGGCAAAACAAACGCTTTATTTTAATACTAATAAAATACTTAAAAACAGAATATGGAACGTTTTTCTTTTTAAGTTCCTATTAAACTAATTAAAATAAAAATAAAAAAAATTAAAGGTTTTATTTAAATTCTGAACAAAGTTATTAAAAAACTTATCAGCAAAACAAAACGTTTTATTTAAATTCTTAATTAGTTAATTAAAATGAAAACAGAATATAAAATTTTTTATTTAAATTCTAAATAAATAAATTAAAATTAAAAAGGAATATACAATGTTTTATTTAAATTTTTAATAAAATAATTAAAATTTAAATGAAAAAACCA